AGCCACCCCACTGCAGGATCTCAGAGTGCTTACAGCTCCCCACCAGCACAGGGGCTGCACAGAGCCACCCCACTGCAGGATCCCAGAGTGCTTACAGCTCCCCACCAGCACAGGGGCTGCACAGAGCCACCCCACTGCAGGATCCCAGCACCATTCCCGCTCCAGCAGCACAGGGGCCACACAGCAGCCACCCCACTGCAGGATCTCAGAGTGCTTACACCCCCCAGCAGCACAGGGGCTGCACAGAGCCACCCCACTGCAGGATCCCAGAGTGCTTACAGCTCCCCAGCAGCACAGGGGCTGCACAGAGCCACCCCACTGCAGGATCTCAGAGTGCTTACAGCTCCCCACCAGCACAGGGGCTGCACAGAGCCACCCCACTGCAGGATCCCAGAGTGCTTACAGCTCCCCACCAGCACAGGGGCTGCACAGAGCCACCCCACTGCAGGATCCCAGAGTGCTCACAGCTCCCCAGCAGCACAGGTCCCTTCCCCGTGGCATGGCCCATGGCACAGTGCCCTGCTCACCTCGTCCCCTGTCCTAGCACTGCCACAGCTGTGGGCTGGCAGCAGGAGAGTGGGACAGAGACAGAGACTCTGGCCACCCTCACCAGGCCCCTCACAGCCCAGCTCCTGGCTGGGTGGGGAATGGGCCCTGCTGCCCCTCCTTGGCTCGGGTCTGGTGGTGGACACCATGTGCTGTGGTCCCAGCCAGGCAGGCCAGGGGCTGGCCCAGCCCTWCCCTTCCTTCCTCGGGGGCTGCCAGGACACTCAACTCGGCACATCTCGAGCTCACTGCGCAATGCCGGGGTCCCTCCCTTCCCCTCCAGGCCCTGCTGGCTGTRGGACCACTGCTCCCTGCTGCAGGCTCCATGGCAGCTCCCACACCGGGCTGGGACAAGAACTGACACCAACACAAGGGCCAGGAGCCATCCCCATGGGATGCTGTTCCCCTTTGTCTCATCCCCATCCTACAGGGTGTCTGTAGGGACCCCACTGCTCTGTGCAGGACCCCAGTGCAGCGAGTCTGGGCCCTGTATGGGGCTGTGCCTACAGTGGGAGCAACCCCAACATGTCCCTGCCCCCATCAACCGCCTGGAGAGGCTGCATCAGCCTCGGCTGCCTTGACTCAGCTAAATCCTCCTCAGCAGCACGAGATGGAGACACGGCACCCAGAATGCCGGCTGTGGAGCGAGGGGAGGGTGGGCATTGCAAACCTCGGGGTGTCCTTTGGCTCCYGAGCTGCAGCAGCAGCCAGCCCTGCTGCCGGCCCACGCTGTACCACAGCAGAGGGGTGACAGCCCTGGGATCAGGCACACCCTGAGGATGAGGGTGGCACTGCTGCAGGTGCCACTCTCACTGTGTCCCCTGGTGAGGTCCCGTGGGGCCCCCAGAAACATCCTGCCTGTCTTCTCACACCACATCCTGTTTTCACCGAGCTGCGTGCGCACCCGGGGTTGCGTCAGCCCCATCCTTCCCCCAGACAGCTGAGGTGCATCAGGAGGAGGGTTTGGGGACAGGCCCTCCCAGGCTGCTGGACCCTGTATCCAGGACATTGTCCTGCTTTTGTGCAGCCCTGCCCATCACCCCATGAACCCCGTTTCCCTGACTCAGAGCCCTCCAGGGATCCCCTCCACAGCCCCTGCTTTGCTCCCAGCRGCTCSAGGCCCCACCACTCACACMCACCCACCCCCAGCCTCCAGCACGGGGCGAGCACTGGCCCAGCCATGTCYACAGGCACTGTGCAGGTGCCAGGGATGCAGCCAGGCAGGCACCTCACCTGCTCSTGGCACTGCTTATGGTGCCAGGCCTTGAGAAGAGCAGAGTCCACTGCTGCTCAGCCACAGGGCCAGAGAGGTCTCGCAGCCCCCTGCCCCACAACACAGCCCTCCAGTCCAGCAGCTGGACAGGAACCAGCAGACAGCAGCAGCTCATGCAGGTGGCTGACCTTCAGCACACCCACAGCTTGGCAGCTGCTGGGCTTTTCCACACACATTTCCCTTTGGAGAGTGCCACCCTCCCCTCCAGCCACCGGCATTTGTGATGAGGGCGACCGAGCGCTCACACATCCTCCAAGGCAGGGCAGGGGGCAGGGGGCAAGGGGCTGGGGCAGGACATGCCATGGCACTGCCTGTGACCTCCCAGCTGCCACCACTGACTTCTGAGCCACCCCGTCCCAGGGTGGCACCAGCCCTGATGCAGGGCAATGCCAGGCACAGGGCCCGTGCCCGTCCATCCTGCAGGGGCTCAGTGCCTGCACAGGCCCGAGCCTGGAGGGCCCAGGAAGCAGAGGAAGGAGGCAGTGAGACGGCGAGGACACTCTGTGCCGCCGTCAGCAGGAGAGGAGCCATATGGAGCCAGAGCCATATGGAGCCGGAGCCACGGGCACCGCCGTGTCTGCGGGGGGATGGGACCCCGCGGCACAGAGGGGAGGGGGCACGCAGTGCCTACCTGCCTTGGCAGCCACTGAGGGGCACAGGAATGCCTGGAAACTGGAGGCGCAGAGCTCGCTGACTGTCCCCATGCCGCGGGGGTCCCACGCAGGATGCACCCAGCTCCGGGACGGCACGGCAGGCCCAGGCAGAGGTCAGACAGGAGCAGGCAGAGGCCAGGCAGGTGCACGCAGTGGGCAGTGGCTCCCCAGCGCTGTGCAGSTACCCGGGGCAGCTCTCCAGTCCCGTGGGGCACGGTGCAGGCAGGGCAGCCGGAGCGCTGCCGGCTCTGGCTGGAGCTGCTCTGCCAGGGGAGCTGAGCCGCAGGAGCCCACGCGCCAGCCCCAGCCAATCCCCGCTGCACCGGCACACAGCCCGTGCCACCCAGAGCCCCAGCCCGCGCCTCAAAGCCACTTAGAGGACGGCGAGTTTGGGAAGTGCCCGGCAGCCCCCCTGCCTCGGCCGCCTGCCCCCCGGCAGCCCCCTTGCCCCCGTGGGGGGCCGGCAGCGGGGTATTTTTAGAGTGGTTTTATCCCTCCGTATTAGAGCATTAAGCATCAGGAGCCGGCGGTCGCATAGCAACGAGCGCTGCAAGGAGGAAGGTGCACCCAGAGAAGCACGGCGGCGCGATGTGGGGGTGCCACCACGGCCTCCGCTCCGGGGACACCGAGCTGAGCCCTGACCCCGACACAGCCGGGCAGGCTCAGCGTGCCCTGTGCGCTGGAACGAGCACACACCAGCCCTGCTTGTGCCCTGCTGCGCTCCGTGGGTGTGGGGGGCTCCAGCAGCAGCAAACAGGGGGTCTTGCCCTGGGTCACAGCTGTGGAGCTGGGAAAATGCACAACCCTCCCACACTCCAACCCCACAAGCGCTGAGCAAACCCAAACCGGACCAACAGCTCCTTTCCGCAAAGCAGGAGCAATCTTGAGCGCAGGGCATGGCYGTGAGTAACAAACCCAGGCCTGTCAGGGCAGGAGCAGCTTGGCAGCTCCTTTCACCTGCCCCTGCAACCACGGGGATCGCTGAGCCAGGAGTAACTCGAGCGAGGCAGGCAGAAGTCCAGACGGGGCGGGTGGTAGGAAGGGCACCCAGCCTGGCAGGAGCAGTCCCTGATCCCTGGCCAGTGTGACTGCAGAGGCGAGGAGAGATGGTGGAGAAGGGTGGCTGCCAGGGCAGCCAGGCATTTGCTGCTGATGTGACAAACCTTCTGCTTTCAGCACCACTTCCCCTTTCCCAGAGCAGTGGTTSCCTCATCACCAGGAGGCAAAAGGACAGGCTAAGGGAGCCAGGGGCACAGGGAAGGCTGAGCTGGGCACATGCTGTACAAGCTCTGCCTGGGGCCTGGACTGGCATCTGGAGAAAGCTCTCTGTGACACAGGCAGGGGGGTGAGGGCAGGGCCAGGCAGAATCTCCCACCCTGGATGTCTGGCTCAGACCTTGCACCCTGTCTRGGTAAGGTGGGGTGTTTGTAAACCACAGCTACAGCCCTGACATGACTGCAAGTATCAACAGCAAGGCACATCATTCTCTGCTCCAAACACCTCAGGAGGGGAACTGGAAAACTGCCTGTGCCCGAGTGCCCGGCTCTGCTCTCCAAGCCTGTGCTACCCCTGGTACCCCCTGYACCTCGGTGTCTGTGCCTGTGACCTGGCCTGAGTCCACCCCTGAGCCCTGTGGAAGAGCTGGCTCCCAAGCTGGGCCCAACAACTTGCCCAGGCTCACTCAAACTGTGCAAGGGAATGTGCTGGGGCACAGTAACAGCTTCCCCAGCAGGGTTCCCTGGTGCAGGGGGCATGCCATGCTCTCAGAATGCCTCTCAAACAGCCAGGCCTTGCCAAGGGCTGCCAGCACCCTCTGGCAAAACAAGACTTTGCAGGTTGGCAGTGAGGAGGGCAGAGACCACATGAGTGAGGAATCCCCCAGGCAGCCTGCTGGCGACCTGGCAGCCCACCTTCCTCTGGGGATCCCTCCCATCCTGCACAGCCCACCCTGCCTTCACACACCCATCCTGCCCCAGACAGCAAGGCCCCTCAGGCACAAGCTGCTTTACCAGAGGCTGCATCAACCCCGCTTAGAGAAATCCCTTAATCCCCAGGCCAGAGCGAGCCATAATCCCTCGGGAGCAGTGGGATTACCAGCACTGCCCAATCCCCCTCTCCCTGGGGCCAGGACAGGACTATTCTCCCCACAGCCTCTCACCGGTGCTGCAGCTCCGCAAGGCAGGAGCAGCCGGGAAGATTCCCTGCCAGGACAGCTCCTTCCCACCGTCCAGAGGCGTTGGATCCACACCACYACTCCCGGTCAGTTCTGCTTGGGATGGGCTCGGTCCTGCCGCTGTCCCCAGGGGAAGAACTGGGGAGGGAGTGGGAGTGCAGCCCCATGCCCTGGCACGAGTGGGGGGAGCCCACATCTGTGCCGCCAGCTGCTCACCCKGGGATTTGCTCTCTGCTGAGGCCAATGGCTGAAGAGACACCGTGAGCCRTGGGGCAGACACTGGGGTCAGCACTATCCCACCAGAAAGAGAATCCCTGTTGGCTGCAGAATGTCCTTTGGTAAAGCAACTCAGTTTAACAGCAGCTGTGGCACAGGGACAGTGGCAGGAGGCAGCTGTGCCGCTCCCTGTAGCCCCTGCAGCAGGAGGAGAACATTTCTGATGCTGAGCCGGGACGTTTTCCAGGTGATTCCGGGAAGCAAGGAGAGGCTGCTCCCAGAACTGCCCTGCACAGCGCTCTGCCACTAACGCRTTGTGCCTGACAACACCCGAGCCAGGCCGCGGCGGGGCTGGGTGCTGGCACCTTATCTTACAGCCAACTCCTCGCAGCCAAGCACAGTCACGTCTGGGTGGAACAGCAGCTCCTAATCGGCTGCATCACCCCGGACAGGAAACCGGCCCGGGCACCAGCACTGCTGGCGGTGGCACTTGGCTGGCACCGGGAAGAACGGGCACCAGCACGGCTCCAGCACTGGGGAGCCGTCCCATCTTACCCAGAGTCCAGCCTCCCTTCAACAAAGTCCCTGCTGACGGCACAGCCACCTGCCAACACACGGGAACCTGCCTGGGAGAGCCCGGGCACAGCCAGGGTCCCCCTGCCCGCTCCAGCACCAGGAGGGAACGCGAACGCTCTGCGGGCACGGAGCACGGAGGGAAGCGGGAGGAAAACGCACGGGCACGAAAGGGGAGACCTTGCAACCCCCGAGTCACCATGGCCCGCCCTGGGAGGGGACCAGGGCACACGTCGGGAGCTCCGAACCGGAGGAGCTGTGACTTTCAGCAGGAGCCATCGAGGCGAACCAGCCCCGGGATGTGAGGGGCCCGGACTGGGCAGTGCCGTGGGGACACCCGAGCCAAGTGCGAGCAGCAGACGGACGGCGTGCGGGCAGCGGGTCAGGAACAGTGCGGGCAGCGGGTCAGGAACAGTGCGGGCAGCGGGTCAGGAGCAGTGCGGGCAGCGGGTCAGGAACAGTGCGGGCAGCGGGTCAGGAACAGTGCGGGCAGCGGGTCAGGAACAGTGCCGGCTCCGGGGGCTCAGGAGAGCGGCCCCGCAGCTCGGCCGCCACCCCGCGCCGCCGCCGGGCACCCGGTGCCGGTTCCTGCCGCCGCTTCCTCCCCGCCACGGGCACCGCCCGCATCACATTGCCAAGGCCGCGCCTGCTCTGTCATTTGCGGGTGCCGGTCCCGCCGCTGCCGAGTCCCCTCCCGTCCCGGAGCCACCGCCCCCGGTCCCGCACCTGGGAGCGGCCCGGCCCAAACGCGCCCGTCCGCCCGCCCGGGAGGGTCGCCCCCGCCCCCCGGTGACCACGGACGACCCCGGCGCCTCGGCCCGGGCCAGGCGGGTGTCACAGAACCCTCCGCGCTGTCCCCCCCGGTGCCGGGATCCCCCGGCCCGCACTGACCGCAGCCGCCGCCCTCCTCCTCCTCCATCCCGCCGCCGCCGCCGCTCCGGCCCCGCCCAAGTGACGAACGCGCCGCAGCCGCCACGGCCGGCGTCACGTGACACAGGGGCGGG